GTTTATTATTGCTGGTTGCAACTGCTGTTGTAATTTTTAAATGACTTTTCTTCCCTAATTTTGTAAAGTCTGTGTCCTTTTGTCATGTGTGGCCACTGAAAACTTCGCTCTATTAGCTTAGTGGTTAGCTAGTGATTTATCAGAGATTTCTTGAAATGTCCAGACTCAGCTGTTTGCCTGGTTGCTATTAAACCCTTGGTTAGTTTCCAGCATCCAATAAAGTTGATTCTGACAGTCCTCGCCAGTTATTGGCTGATTTCGTGGAGGAATGGGCTTTTGGTGTTTCCTGTCCACAATCTTTCTGATATCACTCAGTATGCTACTTTTGTCTAAGAGAATGAAGATTACACCTATCTACCTATCTATATTTGTGATGTAAAAAAAAAAGAAACCACAAAATATAAATGGCTCCTAGTGGGAGGAGAAAACAGGAATAGAAGCTAGATTTCTTAAATATACCTTGCTTTGTAGATTTTACTTTAGATCCACATATTTTACATAATTATAAAAAATTAAAACATTAAAAAATATTACCTGAACAAATTATTCCCAGAGTCTAAACATGCCTAGATCTAACATTTATGTGGAGATTTGAGTTCTGATAGTCTAACTACTGATGCTACAGGAGTAACTATTATGCAAAATTACATAGTATTAAGAGATATAACATAAAGCACCTATGTTATATACACTAGCTCACTTCTACTAATACCTTACCCAAGGAGACAAAACATAATTATTTTGCCATCTTTGCTGTAGGCCCATATACAAGGCTTATGTCTAATCAATGAAAATCGAATAAATCCAAGCAATAATTATAAACGTTTGACCCTAAGGCCACTTTTTAAATAATGCTGAGGGAAAAAAGTGCCTGCTAGAATAGAGTTTGTTAGTCTTACATTTTCCTTACAAATATAAAGATTTGGTAAAGACTTATTATTTTTGCTTACATAAAGAAAAACACATTCCCTGCCCCCAAATGGGCACCCCACAGGTACCTGAATAAAAGTGCTCATCTGAACAGAAATATCTTCCACTCCTAGTTTGTTATCACCACCACTTATCTAAATACAGCAGATGTACCCCTTTCCCCACAGTCCCACATCATATTTTGCCAACAACTCATGACCACTTTGCTTCTCTACAGAGTACCTTAAATCCAACCACCACTCCACATTCCCAATGCCACTGCCTCAGTTTGCACCTGTATGTCCTTCCTGGACTACCAAATGGTCAAACTACTCTTTTCTGCCTCCATGCTTATCTTTTTCTAAATCCATGTTCCATTATGCCTGTAGAGTTTTTACTAAAAATAAATTGAATAATTTATTCAATCTTTTAAATTTATTCAATAATTGCTTTGCTTATATCAATTATTTAATTGTTTCCCATCATCTCCAACAGTGATTTTTTAAAATATATTTCTTAAAGACTCAACAGAATTACCTCAGTGCCCAGGGAAGGTAAGGCAGAAGCTGGCTGGGTAAGGTTCCCTTGTCGTTCCTATTCTTCAACCTTTAACCACAGTTGCTCAATTTGTTTATAGGTCTGTGTAAGTTTTTATTTATAAAAAAGATTTTCCTAACTCAAGCTCTTCATAATTTCGCTCCTTACTATCTCTTCAGATTCAATTTACTATTACTGCTATTCACAAACCTTATACATCCAGTCATTTTGAAGTCCGCAGTTTACTGAACTAGAGATGTTGTTTCAAGCTTTTATTCTTTGAAGTTATTTCTTCTACCTGTACTGCTATTCTCTCCATGCCTTAGGAAACCTCTGGAGCTATCTCGGATTAGAGATGAAAAAAAAATATAAAAAGCCCCAGGCAGTTTGTTTCTTTCTCTGTTCTTTTAGTGCTCTGTATATTATATTACAATCTCTATCACTCTTTAATTTTTTCCATCATTTAATAACATCTGTGTCCTTGGATAAGTAACTTAACCTCTCCCAGTTCAAAATCTTGAGTCTCCAGCCTGACAGCTTTTGGACTGAAGATTCTGAACTTGCCAGCCTTCATATGCACATTAAGCCAATTCCTTAAAATAAATATCTATCTATTTATCTAGTATAGACTAATACACACACCTATAGTATACATGAAATTAAGTTACAGATAAGACTATAATAATTTAAAGGAAAAGATTTTTATTTAGAAAGTTCAGAATTAAAAATACAAAGATGAACATAGGTGTTTTAAACATTGACAAAACCCAGTTACAATATAAATATATGGCTCTGATGATATGTGTTAATATCACTTTAAAAATCCATACACAATGCAACGAACAGATTTTAATAACATCTTCCTTCAGTTAATAGTTTATTCACGGTAATTCATAGAAGCTCCATGAAGTGTCATCACTTAAGGAACTTCCTGATTATAGAGTCACAACAAAATTTAGATTTGGTCAAAGTGGGAACATGCCAGGTCCTAGCAAAATGAGTAGAAAGAAATGATCTTTAAGCTCCAAAGCAATGTTTTGGGCAAGTGGTACCTTGTTCTTATTAAAGAAAAGTCTACTGCTGAGGGCACTGGGCCTCTGGAGTTGATTTAGAGGACACAAACAGAATAGAGTGTGATTTCTTACAAGTTTTCTTTTCCAATTTGCTTGAAGTTTCTTTCCCTTCTTTAACTTCTGTTTGAAGCTGTGATTCAGCAGCTAACCTACAGGCATTAAAGCATCCACTCTGAATTCAAGTGTGGTTAAGAAAAATTAAAGAAGAGATAATCCTCTAGTATAATGGGCCTCTAATAAGACATAGTGATTTTTTGGTGTATATAAGGAAAAAAATTATATTTGGCTCCAGTTATAAAATTAAGAAAACTAAGTCACTGCCTTTCTAAAAGAACCTTTTTATGTCAATAGATTTAGTGTTTTCAATGCCTAAAGAAAGATCTTTAAGGTCGATAAAAAGTCACAGCAAAGCCTAAATTAAAGAATTAACATATCACAAGGGTGATATGTTACTTCTTGATAAGCACGCCTAACAAAAAAATTAAATGCTAAAGCACTATTTTAATGTCAGCATGACATATAAAACAAAATGCAAAATAAAAATAAAATGGAATTCTGGGCTGCAGAATAGTCTGTCTCATTAAAAAAACCTCAAATTGAGTTTCAACTAGCAGAATAATAATATAAGAAAGAATAAACAGTGAAGAGATATTTCCTTTCTACTTACTTTCTCTTGCCTTTTGACCTCTATTATTTTAATTTTTAAAAAGAATAAGACCCTTAAAATGTGAATTCTATAGAGACACTCTTAGTCATAAACAAAATATGTAGAAACTAGAAACCCTGAAGTTTTGATATAAAACAAAAATGAATTTACCTTTGATATTTGAAAATGTCAAAACGGGTATCAAAACCCATTCTTGAAGGCTTTGGATAAACAATTTCAAAAAGCCATAAAAAATTTTACCTAACAGTTTCTACAAGGCTGAAATTTCTTAGACTACTAGAAAGCCTTCTACGAGGCAAGCTAGTTTTTCTTTCATGGCCACACTTGAACCAGGAAAAAAATAACCATATATTTATTCAAACTAACAAAGCATTCAGAAAGGTAGCAGATTGTGATATTTCTGTTTCATGAGACAAAAAAGTATAATATTTAATTTCCTTAGTCATGCGTCCTTTCCCCCTGTAATCATTTCAGTCTTTCTTAAAAAGTTTTTTTTTAGAAAAGTTTTTAAAAAGTTAGACATATGAAGGTAGACATATGAAACTGGGGAATTATAATGCATGTAATACTAAGAAAACAGATTAAGAAACAGACAGCACAGTTCATGCAGCGATAGAGAAGAGATGAAGTCTGCTTGTTGTCCTGAATAAAAGAGGACACTGACCTGGGAGAATCAGGGGTGTTTCCACTTCTTTCACTTATAGCTGGAACTTCCGTAAGTTTCACACATTTCTTTTCCTTCGCTGGCTGAATATTCATGGGCAGATTTTCGTGAGGAGAGAGAATGACTCCTGGTGTGTTTACAGAAACTGTCTTTTCTAACGGTGGGGTGTTACCTTCTAAATTGTTAGAACAGGACTGTGCCTCCTCTTTCTGAGGTGATAATCTACAAACTTCCTCAGCAGCACTGCTGGCACATACACTGTTAGAGGTGGTTATATTCACAGGCAGAACCTCACGCCTCTTTTTGAGTACAGGGACTTCAATTTTCTCTGAGAATAAAAATCATTAAAAATATATCCAGTTAATAAATCAAAGACACGATCAACATAAAGAGGTAGAACTAATTATTGATATATATTTTTTCCTTTCTTTTTAAACTCATTCATTTCTTTATTGATATATATTGCTTCTGTCTTTTATATCTTTCTTTTTCAAGGAATCCATTAATTTTATCTTTTAAAGGTTATCTGGCTATAAATTTTCCTTAGGGAACTCAATATATTAGGCTCTAGGAAGGAACATGTGGAAGTTCTTTTCTGGTGTTCTGATATAAGTTGCATGGGGCTTCATAAGACTGCTGTGTAGAGATGAGGAAGGATATAGTGGCTAAGAGTTAAGGAATCCAGCCAGGTACAAGTCCTAGTATAAGCACTTATATAAGCACTAGCATAAAATCTTGGGGAAGTACTTAACCTCTCTGAGTTTTAATTTCTTTACCTTTAAAATGGGAATTAAAAATACCCACTTCACTCAATATTGTGTTGTACAGATTAAAGAAACAAAACAGGTCAAATTCTCTGAATGTGGTAATTTGTGCCTATTAGCCTCACCTACAAAATATATTCAAAAACTGAGTACTTCTATCATGGATATCTCCCCAGTTCAAACTCCATCATCATGTCGCACTGCAGACTACAATAGCCTTCTACTCCCACTGCCTAACATAACATCAGTCTATCCCCTCTGAAGTCACTGAAGTAATCGCTATGTCTTCCCTAACCCTATCCCAAGGTGCCTTTATTTTCAAAATCAAAAATTTAGTGAAGTTGGAGAACAATGGTCAAACATGGGTTTGGTGTTCCTGCTCTACACTGATGTTTTAAAATCGTTCTTTTCCCTTTCTCTTGCACTGCTCCTTTGAAACCGACATCATCTAGATTCACTATACTTCCAAGTCTCTTTGCTATGTTCAGTTCAGCAGACCTTTTAAAGTCGAAATGGTAAATCTTAATCAAGAAAGCCTATAAGAATTAGGGAAGATGAGAGAAAAAGAAGTCTCTTTAACTATAAAAAACCTTACATTGCTGACAACCTCCCCACTATTGTTGAGACTAACTCGTCACTGAGTAAATAATGAAGAAGAGAGTCTTAGGCAATGTGAACAGAGTAGGGGCGAACACTGGCTGAAAATCTGTAACCTAAAACATGTAACACTTTTTTTGGTCGAAGAACCATCACATTCTTAGACTTTTTTTACTTTTGGACTTTCATTTTTAAATTTACATATAGTAAAATCACTTTTTATGTATAAGATGCACAGCCTATATCGTTAGGCTATTTATTCTCTATCTCAGTGATTAAACTTGCTAGTTGTCCTCTAATATCTGCCCTACTATCTTTCCTTAATAATAGAATCCTCAAGATGTAGTTGGGAACATGAACTCTGAAAATCAAGGCTGCATTTCTCAGCTTTTCTTTTAGGCAGGTGAGGCCATGACTAAATTCTTCTCCAGAAGTATATTGACAAACAATACAAATGAAGCCTGGCTCCTGAAGTATATTGACAAACAATACAAATGAAGCCTGGCTCCGCACTAAGCA